GTCGAATTAATCCGAAACTGTACGGCAGATTTTTGTAACTTTTGAAGGAGGCGTAGTTGGTGTTATTAGTTTTGATTTCCCATATTTTTACATTTAATATCTCTTAACGTTAATGAGAAAATTTACTTTTCATTCCGTATACATTTGTCGTAAGTAGCGTTTACTCACCACTTTGTTTTGTCCACAGAACATACGACAATAGTAAAATATCTATTTCAACGACGATGGTATAATTTGATGAAAAAAACAGACATATTTATTAAATAATGATTACTTATTAGAAAAAACATAACAAAAACATAATCATGTATTTAATAAAAAAAAATCTGTACATCTCTTATGCTGTAAATATGTTACGAACATACGTTTTCTTTATATAAAAACAAAAAACAATACTTAAATTCAGTCTTTTGTACATTTTTATCTCTTTCATTTCATTGGAGACTGAGTGCAAGCTAAAATTTAAAAATTTAAAATTTTAAAATTAGTTACTTAGTTTAATTTTCAATTTTAATTGTATCGTTATAGTAGAAGACCATCCAATTGTCGTAAGTTCAAAGTTTTGCGATACATACGACAAATGTTTTATGATTAAAAAAAGATTACATTTGTATGGGAATTTGTCGTATGTGCCACATACGACAAACGTTTTATGATTAAAAAAAAGGTACGTTTGTATGGAAATTTGTCGTATGTGACGCATTTTCAGCACATACAACAAAAGGCATACCCAATCATTAATATTATGTAACATACGACAAAATGCGCACGAAATATCTCAAAAACTAATGGAGATATAAAAAATGGATTGCAGAAATCGAAAGAGCATGTCCAACTTAGTAAATCTGCATCAAAATCCCAAAATCGTGATTTTGCACATTCGTCATCCGTTTTCTGAGACGACGATATGTACTTATGTATGTATGCTGCGATTATGTTGTAAATATTGCGCCATCTATTTATCAAAAGCCGGAATATGTTTTTACGCACACATACATACTTTTTGTCGCTTTCCCTCATTTCCAACGCATGCACGTGTTTGCAAAACGATGACGAAGTGATTTTGTATGGGAAATCATTTATACCAATATATTTGAATCAAATGAACATACATAGAAGATGCCAACCAATACTTATCATATACCAAACGAAACGAAAACTCTTGAATTTTTGACTAAAGAAAACAGAAACAAAATCGTTCGAGTGGTTTTCGAGCATTTTGGTAATAAAAAAAAATTTTTTAAATTTGTTCATAAATTTTTTGCCTGAAAATGTTCAATATTTGTTAAATTTTTATAAAATCTGTACACGATAATATTTCCATTGCTCCAAAGAATCTATATCCCGAAAATGAAAGTTATATCTGTAAATCATAAGCTGCTGGAGCACTTTAAAGGCGCAATATTGACCCCAAAATAACCCAATGTTTACCGTTCTTTTTACGACAGAAACCGAATTGGTTTTGTACTTACAAAAATTAATCTGTCGATACGTCTGGCATTTTATCTTTGAAAGGCCACACTTTTCTTTGAAATCGGTTCTCGTGCAGTAAGCATTTTCGTGAAGCTCTAAAAATTAGAACTACAACATCTCAGCATAGCCTCCGTATCGAAACGTAAGACGTATTCTACGTCAAAACTAAACAAAGGTCAAATATTTATCAACAGACTTTTTTCCATTTAACAAAATGCATAAGAGTGCCCGATTTGACTGCTCTTTTATAATTCCATTTATCTGTAGTTTTCATTTGAGAAGCTAAGCCATAAGATCACTTTAAAGTTTAAACCTGTTTCGAAAAGTTTTCAAACTCGTTAAATTGTTATTAATTTATGCAAAGCAAAGAAAGAGTGTAAGAACTGCAGAACTAGCTAGCAGCGCTCTGTACTGGCTCAGCTGAAGTCAGAAGCTGCAAATAAATAAATAAAATCAGTTGTGAAGGTACGATACGTACATAATACATATCTACTACATACATATGTATGTACCAGGGCCGGCCGCAGGATTTCTTTTTAGGGGGGTTTTATGTAAAGTCATTCGTAACAACCAATAATATCATTGTTTCGTGTAGAATATTCAGCATATTGTGTTTAATTGTGAATATAATTTAGCACAACTCAAAGATAAGTCGCATGCAATTCACCGAGGTATAGATACAAATTATTTTCTGAAATCTGAATTTTTGCTAATTTTTAATGGATAAGACAGCCCAACAAAAATAGAAAAAAATTTTTGTACGGCAAATGTTAAAGCTGTTTTCGATAAATCTTTTGTGCTGATTACGAATCATTGAGCATAAAGTTTCCATCAACTCTAGTTTCTCTAGTTTTCACAAAAACTACTTTGTGATGTTAGCACCGATCTGGGACCTATACGACGATTCCACGATTCGTAACTCACTCTTTAAGTAATTCGCAAAGTAATTCGTGAATTACTCTGTTTCCACGACGTATTCGTAATTCGTTTGGCAGCTCTACTTGTTGTCCTTCGCAATAATTCGTGTTTGTTTTTTATTATTTTGTTTTGGCTGTCAAATTTCGATATATTTCCGATAAATATTGGAGAAAGCGCCGTTTCGTTCGTCATTCGCATGCTAATTCGGTCTGAATTACCTACAAATGAGGTAATTCGCTCTAAAATTTTTGTATTGCGAATTACGTAATTCGAAGGGTAATTGGATGGCGAATGACGAATGAGAGAGCGAATTACGAATCCTGAAAACGTCATATTACCTGTCATCACTGATGTTAATTTTGGCTTTGCATGTACATATAATCAAGGGGCGCTAATTGGCTTGTTTGTACTTAGCAAAACGCAAAGTAGTTTCAGTTAAAATGCCAGCAGCAATAATAACAAAGCGGCGGTAAAAACCTTACCTATCTACAAAATCGACTAACTCCATGCACGGTAATGAAAACCACGAATAACTTAACTACTTTAAATTCACTTTCTGCCTATTCTGAAAAATCTCTCAAGTGTTGTTAACGAAAATATGCATATAAAACATATTCTTTGTTTTAATATACTCGTACTATAAGTAGCTATACGTATGTATGTATTATTTAGGATGGGTCCAAAAAAAGTAAAGTAGATTTCCATGTATTTTATATGGGGGAGGAAGGCGGAACAACTTTTCGCAGAATCTCGAAAATCTATATTTTTCGATCGGGAAAATCTGGGTTTTTATTTAACCATTTTTTTATACTAAATATTTTTTATTGGGCCCCCCATTGCATTTTACGGGGTTTTGGCGAGCTTATAAATTATAGTTACTATGAAAAAATGGTTAAATAAACAATTGCGAATTATTAATGGGAGTTTCCTGCAGAGAACTAGAATTCTCCGATCGAAAAATATGAATTTTTAAGAATTCTATACCATTTCTACGAATAATTCTTTTTCCCCCATATAATATACAAGGAAAACTTTGGGCGACCTCTAAATATGATTTTATTTCAAAATAAAAAAATAGGTGTATATTTTTTCGGTATAGAACAATCCCAGGGGGTAAGAGCATAAAAATTCCGACTTTACTTTTTCACATACATTTTCGGACCATCCTTATGTAATGGCTGTATGCCATAGATATGTAATTGCTGTAAAATTATGTTCAAATGTAGGCTATAAACATATACATAGCAGCACGCGTCAGCTACTCTGGCTTTTGGCCTCCGGCAAGGTTTAGCCGCCGATTTCATACTTAAGTGCGCGTATAAATGCCTTTGTGGGCATAAATATGACACTTGTCGTGCTTGTTTTTGATGCGTGCCGCGCACATACATAAGTACATGCATTATTAGTCACTTAATTTTGTAGAACAAGTGCTTTTCGGTAATTATTTAATTTTCTTTACATTCTTTAATCGGTTATTTATGTGCTGTTAAATGAATTTTGATTGCTCACTTAAAATTTGTAGAAATTGAGAGAAATTTTTAATTAAGCATCTAGAGAAAATGGCTTGAGATGCTGTGCAATTATTAGGGAAATTTTCATCTTCAATAACTCTAGTCGAGTGGTGGTGGCCATCAGCTTGTACGCGGGCAAAGCTCTTTCAATCCATCTATACTAACTGGGCAATTCTGGCAACTGTCTTTCAACTCACCACAGTCTTTCGCAAGACAATTGTCAATACTGGCAATTATATTGAAAGTTCTTTACTGTATTTCGAAAGCCTAATTGAAAGATCTGCTAACGAGGAGGTATTAGCGTTATGCTGTTCGCCTTTTTGAAACAATAAAAACTAATACATAGAAGAAAATTTATTTAAAAAAAAATATAAGAGATAAGAGATAAAACGAGTTGGCTCTCTGAGATACTAAGCGGAGTCCATTTCAACAGCGACTCTGGAGCTGTTGCTGAAAAGTTTCTCATTGATCCTGTGACCGAGAGCAAGGACAACCTATGGAGATTGAAGCAACAATCGGGCAGACGATCATGCTTACTTTATGGTCTCATCGTCTCTACTAGCCAGCAAGCGGCTTTACAAATAATTTTGTTCCAACTCAGCCTTTCATCAGAGGTGATACCGAGATGATTGGACCAGAGTCTAATCTATAATCCAGAGATACCAAATATGCAGCCCCGATTAGCCTTGTAGAAGGACCAACTGGGAGCTGAGAGGATATGAGCTGCAGTCTTTCAAAACTGAGCCTAATTGGGGTCCCATAAAGAACACTGGGTACAGGCCGTTATGAGTATATTACGGCAAGACAGAGTTTCTGGGAAGGTATACGACCTGAAACTGTCCGAGAGAAGCCTATTAATTTATACCAGAAGGCAGGCGGATATTGTGAAAACATCCCTAACGAAAAAAATTACTTCTTTTACTTTAAGCTTCATATTTGGCTAACTTGTTAGCCTCAGGAGCTCCTTGGGATAAATTGTTCCTTATAAATTACTAATATGTAGCTTTAGCTAGACTTTTATATCTGCAACGATTGATTTAAATTTTCAGCAGCTCAATTTTCTAATCTCGTTCATTTCTCTCTACCCTCTTCTTTCAGATGCGGCGAGCGCAACGATGAATCGCGCATCGTGGGCGGCCAGACAGCCGGCGTCAGCGAATACCCATGGATGGCACGCCTCAGCTACTTCAATCGCTTCTACTGTGGCGGCACGCTGATCAACGATCGCTACGTACTCACCGCTGCGCATTGCGTCAAAGGTTTCATGTGGTTCATGATAAAAGTAACATTTGGTGAACATGATCGCTGCAATGACAAGGAACGACCCGAAACACGTTTTGTGTTACGCGCCTTCAGTCAGAAATTCAGCTTCTCCAATTTCGATAATGATATCGCTTTGTTGCGCCTCAATGATCGTGTGCCCATTACAAGTTTCATACGACCAATCTGCTTGCCACGCGCTTTTGAACGCAATGATCTGTTCATTGGCACCAAAGGCATGGCGACCGGTTGGGGTACGCTGAAGGAGGATGGCAAACCGTCTTGTTTGCTGCAGGAGGTAGAAGTTCCAGTCTTGGATAACGAACATTGTGTAGCGCAAACGAATTACACACAAAAGATGATTACTAAGAATATGATGTGCGCCGGCTATCCGGGCGTGGGTGAGCGTGACTCCTGCCAAGGCGATTCGGGTGGACCGCTGGTGCGCATGCGTCCCGATGATAAGCGTTTCGAACAGATTGGTATAGTATCGTGGGGCAATGGTTGCGCTAGACCCAACTATCCGGGCGTTTATACGCGTGTTACGAAATACTTGGACTGGATAATGGAGAATTCGAAAGATGGCTGCTTCTGCGATGAAGACGATTGATGGGCAGTTAACGGAAGAAGGTTTGGAGGGTTGAAGATGATAGTAGAACTGAATGATGTGAAATATTTTAATCGGATCGTTTTCTTTTTTTAAGTAGGGGGTTTCGAAAAACATACGTAAATATGATCTTGCAAGTTTTTAATTTGGTTTGTCCAAACCAAGCATTTTTGTATTTTTTTCTTAAATAAAATTTTGCATTTTTTATATGAAATGTGCAGCACTAAATTAAATAAACATGTATGTAGCGAGAATTAATATAATAAAGTAATAAAAATCGTTGGCAATGATTGAGAAAGAGAGAGTCAAGTAAGTTGGTTATTAAAAACTATGATTAATACTTAGAGATAAACAATTTTCTACTGGGTACTCGCTTTCCTAAAACGCCGCTGTTAATTGCCGTGAAATATCGACGCGCCAATAATGATTTGTGGCATGCTAAGAACAGGCAACTATAAATTAGGTGCGCTTTTTTTCTTTTGGCTTCTATTTGCATAATTTGTTTTCTATTTGTTTGACCTTGTCGTTTTATCTTTTTTTGGGAAATTTTTCTTTATATATTTGTTCGGTTTAAATTTAGCATGTCAAGTACATTGCGCGTACATATTTATTTATAAATATATAGGTGAGTTATACATTAGGGATGTTAATCCCGGGATTCCGGGATCCCGGACATTTCTTGCCAAGAATCCCGGCATTATCGGGATTTGTAAATTGCAAAAGTGGCAATAATATAATGCTTTATGTTGACCAGTTTTCGCTATATTCTTAGCTTTACTCGCTGACGTCGGGATTTTTTAAAAAGACTTTGAACATTGAATAATACGAGTAATTCAAAAAGATGTTTTAAAACATTTAGTGCAATGTACTTAGGAAAACAGTATGGGTATCAAATTAAAGAGAAAATTCTGTAGAGAAAGAACAGATAAAATTTTTTGGTGCATAAGGTATTGAAAATGCCCTTAAGAATTTTATCCTTGAATATCCTTTAAATTTTGCAATATTTATTTTGAAAAAACTATATATGAAATTATATATATATGTTAAGAACTAATATAAGTATATAGTCCGTCTAACTTTATTAGCTTAAAAAAAAATAAAATTGATTAAAAGGGCATTTCAATACCTGTTCGTCCGCGGTGAACCCAAAAACAAAATTTTTTTTTTAATCCTACAGAATTTTCTCTTTCAGTTGGTACCAATTTTTATTTTACATAACACTGAATTTTTTAAATATTTTTTTAGAATTTATCATATCGTTGAAACTACAAAGTTCTAATAAAAAAAATCTAAACTATAAACGCAGTTTTACTATATTTGGTCCATAGTGTCGTGAGTATATTGATTGCTTGGTGTGTTTTGAATTTTTTTTTGTTTCAACCCAGCAAACATTTGGAGTCATAAATGAGTCTTTAAGGAGTCCCATTTCGGAGCCTTTGTGCTCATAATGAGTTCATTTAAGAGTCCGAAATGAGGGTGTTTCCCTTCCTGCGAAGGTCGACCTATATGAGCTTAAATTCATACATCAAATGAGCCTCAATATGAGTCATATTGGACTCTTATTGGCCTCATATACGGCTCATTTTTGACTCTTTTTGAAGCTCTTAAATGACTCTTATTGGCCTCATAAATGCCTACTTTCGGAG